CAGCACAGCACATTGATGCTTATTGGCTCTTACCTGGTTATAATATTTAAGATTCTCAGCAGCAGAACCATAATCATACATTTGAAACTTTTGTGATTTTATCATCTAAGAATAAACATAAATATAAAGTAATATATCATCCTAATATTTTTGCACAGGTATGTTAGATCTATGAATCAAATTCAGCTTTTAAATTTGTTGAAAAAATATTTTAAAATACAAATATTATAGATCTATGAATCAAATTCAGCTTTTAAATTTGTTGAAAAAATATTTTAAAAATTTTCTTAGCATGTAACCTCATACAATTACTTACCTGTGCAAAGTGTATAACATTCCTCACAGATGTTCCAGCAGGCACATGATGAAAATAAACTGGAAGACGAGTCTAGAAAACAGAAAACATTCACAACTAATATACTACCGTATTCCAAAGATTATTTATTATTTTGTAGCAGCTTATGAAATGATTGATGTCCAACTATAAACATTCCATTAATTGCATCATGAAAAAATATTTATTTTTTTCATGGTGGTTGAATTATTAGTGTGATATTAGTCACTGGCTTTGTATTGAGAGATGGCAAGGAAGGTAATTTCAATTGTGTCAATGAAAACAAAGATGTCCATTAAAAAGAAATATCATGAAGGTGATTTGATAGCATCAAATATGTCACTAGAGACAAATACAACAAGTCACATCATGTGATAAATTAAATAGTTGACAAAACTGAAATGAGTCAGCCATTTTGAATCAGAAAATCAAATAAATTACATGAGACTAAAGAAGTAAAAGAGTTAGCTTTCTTAATATATTATATAATTGTGATCAGCCAGAGCATGTCAGAGACATGACTTTAAAACAGCATTTGCATTTGGCCATTTTGAATCTGATCTGAGAACAATTGATGGTCCCATTATAGTAATATATTATTCAAATTTTATTACAGTATTATATACATCAAAAAGTTCACAAAAACAAAATGCCATCTTAGCCAAAACTCAAAATAAAATTGTCCTTAATTTGAAACAATAGAATATATACTTTGATAAAGACAGAAAAACAAAAAGATTACAAGAATTTAAAAGCGAGATAAATTTTATAAATAATGGGTATTTTTAATAGTAAGAGTAAGGAATTTTTGTATAAGAGACATTCACTACAAAAATTAAATTTGTCTTCAAATAGCTTTCTGTAAAACAAGTGCAGCATCTTCTTTGCCTGGAAATATTTTCCACCCTGACACTCTTGATGTGCAATCTATGACTAGAAACACAAAATCTGCATAGGGAACTTTACGAAAGGACTGACATTTTTATAGAGATAATACATGTCAAGTTTAAAAAAGAATTGCAGACTTATTGATGATTGTTGCACAGCAATATCAAATATTTAAAGGCAAACATAAATAAATATGTATATCCAATGCTATGAGCAAAACTAAACAACAGTTGCTTAACATTATATGCCCAGCCCTTTAACCCTTTTTTGACATTTCAAATTAATAATTTAACAACATTTAATATATTACGTCTTGTCATCCAGGATGTTTAACTAATAATGCAACATAAGGGTTCTTTACCAAGAGCACACACATACAGACACATTAACTGCAAAGACTCCCATTGTGTGCAAAGCACACAGGAGTCAAAATGGCTGTCATTTGGCCATCTTGAATCTGATCATCAAACAACTATATGTGCATATGAGGGTTATGACATATAATGGAACTATAAATTTTGAACATGATCGGTCAATGCATGTCACAGATAGGACTGGAGTAGCATTTGTTAAAAATGCCCACCAGTAGGTCATTTTGAATCAAATCTGGAAAAAAGAAATGCATCAAGGTGACCATTATATGCAACAGGTTTGAACAATATCTATTTTATACATAATTGAGATCCGTCAGAAAGAATGGCAGAAATACTAGATTTTGATGTATTTTAAAGCATAGAAATGGACACCAATCAGCCATCTTGAATGAATAGATGAGCACATGTATCCCAAGATATATGATGTATGTGTGATGTTTCAATGTGATCAGTCCAGGCATCTCTAGGATAGAGGTGGGCATGCATGGACAGACGAACATACATATGCATGGAGGTCAATCAACAAGTCTTTGTTTTCGGACTGCTAATGTTGTAAAATTCTAATGAATTTCTGACTATCATACCTGATTCAGTTGCTGTGGGTCCCATCCACTGATTATAAACAGTATGTTCTCACAGTAAATTTGATACCGTTTCTCACATACATGATCTGCCAACCAGTTGATTATTTCATTGTTCGGCAGAAAATCTCTCACGCCAAATATCTTGAACAGAAGCTGAAAATATAAAATAGGATATGATGTACTTGAAAAATAATGAATTTCAGACCCTAGCAACAGTGGGTTCATCTGTCCACCGAATGGAATTTTTATCCACAAGCATACACCTTTACATCTGATGAAAGTGTAGCTATGTGTTTTAAGGTATTTGCATTGCTCACATATACCGGTAGCTATAATTATAATAAATTTCATAATCAGAACAAATATACAGACTGATGTAGTTGCCATGATCAGCAACACATCAATGCCAAACTGGAAACATAAGTGACACAAAATTGGCTGTTATCAATAAAAACAATATTATCGTATTAATCAAATGAAATTGATTAGTGATTTATACTACTGTACTTAACCTATATGGTGATAATACTACTATGCATTCTATACTTTAACACACACACACACGCACACCCGCCCGCCCGCCCGCCCGCCCTATCGAAGGATAGACTTTTGGGTCATATTCTGTAGATTCTTCAAAGGATAGACCTTTTGGCATGTACTGTAGATACTTCAAAGGATAGACTTCTGGGTCATATACAATATACTGTAGATACTTAAAAGAAGATACCTTTGGGTCATATACTGTAGATACTTCAAAAGATGGACCTTTGGGGCATATACTGTAGATGCTTAAAAGGATAGACCTCTGGGTGATAAACTGTAGAAACTTCAAAGGATAGACCTTTGGGTTATGTACTGTAGATGCTTCAAGGGATAGACTTCAGGGTCATATACAGTAGATACTTCAAAGGATAAACCTTTGGGTCTTATACTGTAGATACTTCAAAAGATGGACCTTTGGGGCATATACTGTAGATGCTTAAAAGGATAGACCTCTGGGTCATATACTGTAGATGCATCAAAGGATAGACTTCTGGGTCATATACTGTAGATACTTCAAAGGATAGACCTTTGGGTCTTATACTGTAGATACTTCAAAGAATAGACCTTTCGGTCATATACTGTAGATACTTCAAAGGATAGACCTTTGTGGCATATATTGTAGATATCTGCAAAGAATAGACCTGTGGGCCATATACTGTAGATGCTTCAAGGGATAGACTTGTGGGTCATATACAGTAGATACTTCAAAGGATAGACCTTTGTGGCATATACTGTAGATGCTTCAAAGGATAGACCTCTGGGTCATATACTGTAGATACTTCAAAGGATAGACCTGTGGGCCATATACTGTAGATACTTCAAAGGATAGACATTTGTGGCATAAACTGTAGATGCTTCAAAGGATAGACCTCTGGGTCATATACTGTAAATACTTCGAAGGATAGACTTCTGGATCATATACAGTAGATACACTTCAAGGGATAAACCTTTGTGGCATATACTGTAGATATCTGCAAAGGATAGACCTTTGGGTCATGTACTGTAGATGCTTCAAGGGATAGACCTCTGGGTCATATACTGTAGATACTTCAAAGGATAGACCTTTGGGTCATATACTGTAGATACTTCAAATGATAGACCCTTGGGTCATATACTGTAGATATCTGCAAAGGATAGACCTTTGGGTCATGTACTGTAGGTGCTTCAAAGGATAGACCTCTGGGTCATATACTGTAGATACTTCAACGGATAGACCTTTGGATCATGTACTGTAGATACATCAAAGGATAGACTTCTGGGTCATATACTGTAGATGCTTCAAAGGATAGACCTTTGTGGCATATACTGTAGATACTTCAAAGGACTGACCTTTGGGTCATATACTGTAGATACATCAAAGAATAGACTTCAGGGCCATGTACTGTAGATACTTCAAAAGATAAACCTTTGTGGCATATACTGTAGATACTTCAAAAGATAGACCTTTGTGGCATAAACAGTAGATGCTTCAAAGGATAGACTTCTGGGTCATATACTGTAGATACTTCGAAGGATAGGCTTTTGAGTCATGTACTGTAGATGCTTCAAAGGATAGACCTTTGTGGCATATACTGTAGATGCTTAAAAGAATAGACCTCTGGGTCATGTACTGTAGATAGATATTTGTGCCATATACTGTAGATACTTCAAAAGATGGACCTTTGTGGCATATACTGTAGATGCTTAAAAGGATAGACCTCTGGATCATATACTGTAGATGCCTCAAAGGATAGACTTCTGGGTCATATACTGTAGATACTTCAAAGGATAGACCTTTGGGTCATATACTGTAGATACTTCAAATGATAGACCCTTGGGTCATATACTGTAGATATCTGCAAAGGATAGACCTTTGGGTCATGTACTGTAGGTGCTTCAACGGATAGACTTCTGGGTCATATACTGTAGATGCTTCAAAGGATAGACCTTTGTGGGTCATATACTGTAGATACTTCAAAGGATAGACTCTTGGGTCTTATACTGTAGATACTTCAAAGGATAGACCTCTGGGTCATATACTGTAGATACTTCAAAGGATAGACCTTTGGGTCTTATACTGTAGATACTTTAAAGGATAGACCTTTGGGTCTTATACTGTAGATACTTCAAAGGATAGACCTTTGTGGCATATACAGTAGATACTACAAAGGATAGACTTCAGGGTCATATACTGTAGATACATCAAAGGATAGACTTCAGGGTCATGTACTGTAGATACTTCAAGGGATAAACCTTTGTGGCATATATTGTAGATATCTGCAAAGGATAGACCTGTGGGCCATATACTGTAGATGCTTCAAGGGATAGACTTCTGGGTCATATACAGTAGATACTTCAAAGGATAAACCTTTGGGTCTTATACTGTAGATACTTCAAAAGATGGACTTTTGGGGCATATACTGTAGATACTTCAAAGGATAGACCTGTGGGCCATATACTGTAGATACTTCAAAGGATAGACATTTGTGGCATAAACTGTAGATGCTTCAAAGGATAGACCGCTGGGTCATATACTGTAAATACTTCGAAGGATAGACTTCTGGGTCATATACAGTAGATACTTCAAGGGATAAACCTTTGTGGCATATACTGTAGATATCTGCAAAGGATAGACCTTTGGGTCATGTACTGTAGATGCTTCAAAGGATAGACCTCTGGGTCATATACTGTAGATACTTCAAAGGATAGACCTTTGGGTCATGTACTGTAGGTGCTTCAAAGGATAGACCTCTGGGTCATATACTGTAGATACTTCAACGGATAGACCTTTGGATCATGTACTGTAGATACATCAAAGGATAGACTTCTGGGTCATATACTGTAGATGCTTCAAAGGATAGACCTTTGTGGCATATACTGTAGATACTTCAAAGGACTGACCTTTGGGTCATATACTGTAGATACATCAAAGAATAGACTTCAGGGCCATGTACTGTAGATACTTCAAAAGATAAACCTTTGTGGCATATACTGTAGATACTTCAAAAGATAGACCTTTGTGGCATATACTGTAGATGCTTCAAAGGATAGACCTTTGTGGCATATACTGTAGATGCTTAAAAGAATAGACCTCTGGGTCATGTACTGTAGATAGATATTTGTGCCATATACTGTAGATACTTCAAAAGATGGACCTTTGTGGCATATACTGTAGATGCTTAAAAGGATAGACCTCTGGATCATATACTGCAGATGCCTCAAAGGATAGACCTTTGGGTCTTATACTGTAGATACTTTAAAGGATAGACCTTTGGGTCTTATACTGTAGATATTTCAAAGGATAGACCTTTGTGGCATATACAGTAGATACTACAAAGGATAGACTTCAGGGTCATATACTGTAGATACATCAAAGGATAGACTTCAGGGTCATGCACTGTAGATACTTCAAGGGATAAACCTTTGTGGCATATATTGTAGATATCTGCAAAGGATAGACCTGTGGGCCATATACTGTAGATGCTTCAAGGGATAGACTTCTGGGTCATATACAGTAGATACTTCAAAGGATAGACCTTTGTGGCATATACTGTAGATGTTTCAAAGGATAGACCTCTGGGTGATAAACTGTAGATACTTCAAAGGATAGACCTTTGTGGCATATACTGTAGATGCTTAAAAGAATAGACCTCTGGGTCATGTACTGTAGATGCTTTTGTTGGGTACCCTGGTTTATGTGGAATCTTTTGTTGCGTAACTTGGTTTATGTGGAATCTTTTGTTGCGTAACTTGGTTTATGTGGAATCTTTTGTTGGGTAACTTGGTTTATGTGGAATCTTTTGTTGGGTAACTTGGTTTATGTGGAATCTTTTGTTGCGTAACTTGGTTTATGTGGAATCTTTTGTTGCGTAACTTGGTTTATGTGGAATCTTTTGTTGCGTAACTTGGTTTATGTGGAATCTTTTGTTGGGTACCCTGGTTTATGTGGAATCTTTTGTTGGGTAACCTGGTTTATGTGGAATCTTTTGTTGGGTAACCTGGTTTATGTGGAATCTTTTGTTGCGTAACTTGGTTTATGTGAAATCTTTTGTTGGGTAACTTGGTTTATGTGAAATCTTTTGTTGGGTACCCTGGTTTATGTGAAATCTTTTGTTGGGTAACCTGGTTTATGTGGAATCTTTTGTTGGGTAACTTGGTTTATGTGGAATCTTTTGTTGCGTAACTTGGTTTATGTGAAATCTTTTGTTGGGTACCCTGGTTTATGTGAAATCTTTTGTTGGGTACCCTGGTTTATGTGAAATCTTTTGTTGGGTAACCTGGTTTAT